GACAAAATTCAACACCCCTTTATGATAAAGGTGTTGGAGAGATTGGGGATACAAGGATCATACCTAAAGATAATAAAAGTTATCTACAGCAAGCCGACAGCTAACATCAAATTGAATGGAGAGAAACTCTAAGCCATTCCACTAAAATCAGGAACATGACAAGGCTGTCCACTCTCTCCATACCTCTTCAATATAGTGCTTGAAGTTCTAGCAATAGCAATAAGACATTAGGGGATCAAGGGGATTTGAATTTGAAAAGAAGAAGTTAAATCTTTCGTTATTTGCAGATGATATGATAGTGCACATAAGCGACCCCAAAAACTCTACCAAAGAACTCCAACAGCTGATAAACACCTTTAGTAATGTGGCAGGATACAATGTCATCTCCAAAAAATCGGTTGCTCTCCTATACACAAAGGATAAAGAAGCAGAGAGGGAAATCAGAGAAACATTACCTTTCATGATAGCCACAAATAGCATAAAATATCTTGGAGTAACTCTAACCAAGGAAGTGAAAGACCTATTTGACAAGAACTTTAAGTCCTTGAAGAAAGAAATTGAGGAGGATACCAGAAAATGGAAAGACCTCCCCTGTTCTTGGATTGGGAAAATCAACATAGTAAAAATGGCAATTCTACCAAAAGCAATCTATAGATTCAATGCAATCCCCATCAAAATCCCATCAAACTTCTTCACAGACCTTGAGAAAACAATAATCAAGTTTATATGGAAAAACAAAAAACCCAGGATAGTCAAAACAGTCTTATACAATAAAGGAACTTCTGGAGGCATTACCATCCCTGGCTTCAAACTCTATTACAGAGCTACAGTATTGAAAACAGCTTGGTATTGGCATAAGAACAGAGAAGTCGACCTATGAAATCAAATAGAAGACTCGGATATTAACCCACAAACCTATCCATTTTTTTCAGTTGAGGGGCATCTAATTTGTTTCCAGGTTCTGCCTATTACAAATAGCGTTTCTATGAACATAGTTGAGGAAATGTCCTTTTGGTATGTTTGTACATCCTTTGGGTATATGCCCAAGAATGGTATTGATGGGTCTTGAGGTATATGGATTCCCAGTTTTATAAGAAATTACCATAATGATTTCCAAAGTGCCTGTACAAATTTGCACTCCCACAAGTAATGGAGGAGTGTTCCCCTTACTCTGCATCCTCTCCAACATAAACACTTATCAAAGTTTTAGATGGTAGCTATTCTGGCAATTTTAAAATAATATCTCAGAGTCATTTGGATTTGCATTTCTCTGATAGCTAAAGATGTTGAACATTTCTTTAACTTCCTTTGGCCATTTGAGATTCTTCCATTGAGAATTCTCTATTTAAATATGTGTCCCATTTTTAAATGGGTTATTTGATATTTTGATGTCTAGTTTCTAGGGTTCCTTGTATATTTTGGAGATCAGCCCTTTGTCAGATATGGGATTAGTTAAGATCCTTTTTTATTCTGTAGGCTGACATTTTGGCTTATAGGCTATGTTCTTTGCATTACAGAAGCTTCTCAGCTTCAGTAGGTGCCTTTATAAATTGTTGATCTCAGTGTCTGTGCTATTTGTGTTATATTTAGAAAGTAGTCTTCTGTGCTAATGTGTTCAAGGCTACTTTCCACTTTCTCTTCTATGAAGTTCAGTGTAACTGGATTTATGTTGAGGCCTTTGAATCATTTGAACTTGAGTTTTGTGCATGGGGATAGATATGAACATATTTGCATTTTTCTGTTTGTCAACATCCAGTTATGCCAGAAGCATTTGTTGAAGATGTTTATTCTTCCCCATTGTACAATCTTGGCTTTTTGTCAAAAATCAGATGATCATAGGATTGTGGATTAATATCACGGTCTTAAATTTGATTCCATTGATATATGCGTCTGTTTCTACTCCAGTAAAAAGCTGTTTTTATAACTATAACTCTATAGTGGACTTTAAAGTCAGGATGGTGATGACTCTGGTTGTTCCTTTGTTGTACAGGATTGTTTTGGCTATCCTGTTTTTTTTTTCATATGAAGTTGATTATTGCTCTTTCCAGGTCTCTTAAGAATTGTGGTGGGATTTGATGAGGATTGTATTTAATCTGTAGATTGCTTTTGGTGGATTGTTATTTTTACTATGTTGAATCTACCTAGCCAAGAGCATTGAAGATATTTCATTTTCCGATATCTTCCTCAGTTTCTTTTTTCCAGAGACTTAAATGTCTTGTCACGCAGGTCATTTGCTTGTTTGGTTAGAGCTACCTCAAGATATCTTCTGGTATTTGTGGCTATTGTAAAGGGTGACATTTCTCTGATTTCTTACTCAGCCTGATTGTCATTTGTATATAAAAGGACTACTGATTTTTTTGAGTTAATTTTGTATTCTGTCACGTTATTACAGGTGTTTATCTGGAGTTCCATGGTAAAATTTTGGGGTCAGTTATGTATACTATCATATTGATTGCAAATAATAGAAGTTTAACTTTTTCCCTTCCAATTAGTATTCCTCTGATCTCCTTTTGTTTTCTTTTTTTATGTTTATAAAATTAATTTTTTTTGTTTGTTTATTAAAATATAAAAAAGTTTCCATTTTCGCCCCTCCTCCCAACACCCTCCCACTTCCCCCACTCCCTCTCCTCTTCCCTCTCCATCCCTAAGAGCAGTCAGGGTTTCCTGCCCTGTGGGTAGTTCAAGTTCCTCCCTGCTCCCTCCAGGACCAGGAAGGTGAGTATCCAATCAGACTGGATCCCCAAAAATCCAGAATATGCAGAGGAAACAAGTCCCAGAGTCATTGTCAGTGGCTTTTTAGAAAGAATTCGGGCCAGCCACATTCAGAGAATCCAGCCTCCTCCAGAGAATCTGGTTGGATCAAGCGCTCCTTCAGTCCCAGTCAACTGGCCTTGGTGAACTCTCATTAGATCAGTTGCCTTGTATCAGTGGGTGATCGCTCCCCTTGTGATTCTGATTTCCTTTTTCATGTTCTTCCTCCTTCTGCTCCTCCTTTGGGCCTTGGGGGGCTCAGTCCGGTGCTCCAATGTGGGTCTCCTTCTGCATCGCTATCCATCGCCGGATGAAGGTTCCCTCTAATCTTACCCTCCCTGCTCACATTCTTCTTCCTTCTGCTTCTCGTTTGGACCTAGGGAGTTAAGTCCAGTGTTCCAACGTGGGTCCCCGTCTCTATCTCCATCTATTGCCAGATGAAGGATCTTTGGTGATAAACAAAATATTCATCAGTATGGTTATGGGCCAAGGCCAGATCAGGCACCCTCTCCTCTGTCCAGAGAACAATCTGGGGGAACTCTCCTTGGACCTGGGATCCCATTTACAGTCAAGTCTCTAGTAAACCCTAAACTGACTTCCATAGTTGAGATATATTCTTCCCTGAACCCATATCTATCCTTCCTCCCTCCCCCCCCAGTCCCCCGAGCATTTCCCATTCCTCAGCTGCTCCCTTCTCTCTAACCTCCTCCCCTTCCAACTACCCTCCCAACCCCCCATGCACCCTTGGTTACCTGGAACTCTGTCTATTTCCAATCTCCAGGAGGAAAACTACCTGAATTTTCTTCAGGTTCACCTTCTTATTTAGCTTCTCTAGGATCACGAATAATAGGCTCAAAGACCTCTAATTATGGCTAGAATCCACTTATGAGTGAATACATACCTTATTCCTCTTTTTGGGTCTGGCTTACCTGACTCAGTAAAGCGTTTTCTTTTTCTTTTTTTTTATTTTTCTTTTTATTTATTTATTTATTTATTTATTTATTTATTTAATTTTTACTGGGAACCCCTCAAGAATCAAGTCTCTTGCAAACCCTAGAATGGCTCTCTTAGTTGCGATATAAACTTCCCTGCTCCCATAACCATCCTTCCTCCCTCCCCCCCCCCTTCCCCCAAGCCATCCCCAATTCTCGCCCTCTCCCCTCTCCCTAACCATCTTCCCTCACTTCCATTCCCCCAACCCCCATGCACCCGACTTTGCTTGGCACTCTTGCCTAGTTCTGTTATCCAGGAGGATAACTATATAAGTTTTATTCAGGATCACCTTCTTATCTAGCTTCTCTAGGATCACAAATTATAGACCCAAAGACCTTTAACTATGGCTAGAATCCACTTATGAGTGAGTACATACCATATTCCTCTTTTTGGGTCTGGGTTACCTCACTCAGTAAAGCGTTTTCTATTTCCATCCATTTGCATGCAAAATTCAAGATGTCATTGTTCTTTACCGCTGAGTAAAACTCTAATGTATATATGTTCCACACCTTCTTTAACCATTCTTCTATTGAGGGGCACCTAGGTTGTTTCCAGGTTCTGGCTATTACAAATAGTGCAGTTTTCTTATAGCTCTGGTAAGAAATTCAAGTACTATATTGATTAGCTTTGGAGATATTGGACAGCCTTGTCTATTTCCTGATTTTAGTTGAATCACTTTGAGTTTCTCTCCATTTAGTTTAACATTGGCTATTTGCTTGCTGTATGTTGCTTTAATTATGTTTAGATATGTCCCTTGTATACCTGATCTTTCTAAGATCTTTATCATGAAGGGGTGTTGGATTTTGTTGAAGGCACTCTCAGCATCTAGTGAGATGATTGTATGAGTTTTATCTTTCAGTTTACTTATATTATTATTATAAATCATCCCTACATCCTTGGGATGATGCCTACGTAATCCTCGTGGATTCCTTTTTGATGTATTCTTGGATTCTGGTTTCCAGTATTTTATTGAGTATTTCTTTTGTGTCAATGTTCATCAGGGATATTGATCTATAATTCTGTTTCTTAATGGTATCTTTGTATAATTTGGGTATTAGGCTCACTGTAGTGACATGAAAAGAGTTTGGCAATGTTCTTTCTATTTCTATTTTGTTGAAAATTTTGAGGAGCGGTTTGGGGGCGGGCCCCAGGCAGGAAGAGAGCACAAAACTGCCCTTAAGTCATTGCAGCCCCGGAGCTCAGGTGAGCCTGCCACGAGGTTCTCGCGAGATCCGCCGCCTCCATACCAAGCGCCTGTGTCTGGCAGAGCCGGTGTGAGAAGAGACAGACCTTCCTCGCCGCCGGGATAATCAGGAGTTTTGGCTGGACCTTTGAGTAGAGTACACATCGGGAGAGTGAGGAGCCCGGCGAAAAGCACAGACTATGGCGCTGAAACGGATTAATAAGGAACTTAGTGATTTGGCCCGTGACCCTCCAGCACAATGTTCTGCAGGTCCAGTTGGAGATGACATGTTTCATTGGCAAGCCACAATTATGGGACCTAATGACAGCCCATATCAAGGTGGTGTATTCTTTTTGACAATTCATTTTCCTACAGACTACCCCTTCAAACCACCTAAGGTTGCATTTACAACAAGAATTTATCATCCAAATATTAACAGTAATGGCAGCATTTGTCTTGATATTCTAAGATCACAGTGGTCTCCTGCTTTAACTATTTCTAAAGTTCTTTTATCCATTTGTTCTCTGCTATGTGATCCAAACCCAGATGACCCCCTAGTGCCAGAGATTGCACGGATCTTTAAAACAGACAGAGATAAGTACAACAGAATATCTCGGGAATGGACTCAGAAGTATGCCATGTGATGCTACCTTAAAGTCAGAATAACCTGCATTATAACTGGAATAAACTTTAAATTACTGTTCCATTTTTGATTTTCTTATCCGGCTGCTCCCCTATCAGACCTCATCTTTTTTAATTTTATTTTTGTTTACCTTCCTCCATTCATTCACATGCTCATCTGAGAAGACTTAAGTTCTTCCAGCTTTGGACAATAACTGCTTTTAGAAACTGTAAAGTAGTTAACAAGAGAACAGTTGCCGAAGATTCAGAAAATTTTTTTAAAACTGGAGCATGTGTATTATGTGGCCAATGTCTTCACTCTAACTTGGTTATGAGACTAAACCAATCCTCACTGCTCTAACTTGCTGAAGAAACCATCTGAGGGGGAGGGAGATGAGATGGATGCTCAGCTGTCACATCCAAGGAAGCATTATTCTAGCGCATCCATTCTTGTTTAAACCCTCCACTGTTAGAGATTTGAGGTTACATGATATACTTTATGCTCATAACTGATGTGGCTGGAGAATTGGTATTGAATTATAGCATCAGCAGAACAGAAAATGTGATGTATTTTATGCATGTCAATAAAGGAATGACCTGTTCTTGTTCTACAGAAAAAAAAAATTTTGAGGAGCATTCATGTTATATCTTATTTGAAACTCTGGTAGAATTCTGGACAGAAACCATCTGGTCCTGGGTATTTTTGGGGGGGAAGACTTTTGATCACTGCTTCAATTACTTTAGGGATTATAGTTATATTTAAATTGTTTATATGGTCTTGATTTAATTTTGGCATGTGGTACCTATCCAGAGAATTGTCTATTTTTTATAAAATATTTATTTATTTATGTATTTATTTATTGATTATGTATACAATATTCTGTCTGTGTGTCTGCCTGGAGGCCAGAAGAGGGCATCAGATCTCATTTTAGATGGTTGTGAGCCACCATGTGGTTGCTGGGAATTGAACTCAGGACCTTTGGAAGAGCAGGCAATGCTCTTAACCACTGAGTCATCTCTCCAGTCCATATTTTTTTTATAGATTTCCAAATTTTGTGGAATATAGGTTTTTAAAGTATGACCTAATGATCCCCTGGATTTCCTCAGTATCTGCTGTTATGTCTGCCTTTTTATCTTTTTTTAAATTTGAATATTCCCTCTGCCTTTTTACTGGTTTTGATAAGGATTTGTCTCCACAGATGAGAACCTGTGTGCTGCTTCCACATCAATATGGTTTGATAGATCAAGATCCCCTGAAAGGTTACCATGAACACCCACCAAAAATTACTTTGCCCAACTACTGACTGAAATGAACCTAGTACAAAGGATACACCATAAAAGACCTGACTAACAATGCCCACAAATAGCAGGAAGCAGTATGGACAGAACTACACCCATATAAACAAATATTGTCTATATTTGGTTTTTTACATTTAAAGGGGGATAGGCTATAAAGATAAATAATTTGCTTTGGTATAGATCTTGGTTTATTGATACAAATTTAAGGTAAATTTTGATATACTGTTTATGTATATTTTTAAAATGTAATGTATAATTAAGAAATATATGTTAATAGTCATCTGTTATAGTCAAGATTGTAGTCGTGTTAATTATGTTTTCTAGATTTATAGAGATGTATTTCCATTAGATTGATATTCTTCATATCTTTCAGAGACCTTCAGACCTTCAGAATATGACATTTAAAATGTTTTAATAACTTAGAACTTTTCATGACAATGATCCTAGCAGCACCAGTTAGTTCAAGAGGAAGATGGGCATCGAAGAAGCTCCCTATAGAGTTTGTTAGATTAACTGGACATGCAGGATCCACAGAGAAATGACTGCTGAACTTGCTTAAAGATGAGACAATCATTCAAGTTTCCTGTTTCATGAAAGAATCTGTGAGACATGCTGTAGGATACAGAAGAAAGTGACTGGCAAACTGCCAATATAGATAGACCTGCCTTTGAAATTTCCTGCCTCATGGAAAATTTTACTGAATACTATGGGCCTGTAGACTGTAGATGGATACCCCAATGGTATAAAAGCACTTTAGGTGACTGTCCAGGCAGCAAGATGTCTCTGTCAATTCTAGAGTTTAGGAAGTTGTTTATAATGTACTTCCTGTTTACTTAGGTAATATAATATCCTTCTGGAGTCTTTGATGGAATTGAAGAAACTTTATTTATAGTTATAGATTTCCTTAGTTATGATCAAAGATAATGTAGATATAAATTTTGTAACTGGAATTCTTGTTTTATACCTGTTTTGTTATATGTAATTTTACTATGTTAAAGTTAAAACCTTCCGTCTTTATTTAAACAAAAAAGGCAAGGTGATGTTGGAGTCCCCTCTGTGTGCTATGATTACCATTAATGAATTTTAAAAAACTGCCTTGACCTGTTGACAGGGCAGAACTTAGGTAGATGGGGAAGATCGAATTGAGTACTGTCAGAAGGAAGGTGGAGAGAGGGATGCCATAGATTTGCTGCCTGATATAGATTGTTGAAACTTTGCTGGTGGGCCACGACCTCATGGTAATATACAGATTAATAGAAGTGGGTTAAATTAATATGTAAGCATAGCCAATAAAAAGCTAGAGCTAATGGGCCAATCAGTGACTTAATTAATACAGTTCTGAGTCATATTTTGGTTCTGGGCAGCTGGGACGAAGAAGCAACACCCTCTCCAACAATGATATGAGTTTTTTCTACATTCTTTATGTTGGCATTTATTGCTATGAACTTAACTCTTAGCACTTCTTTCATAGTGTCCCTTGATGCAGGGGATGTTGTGCTTTAACTTTCACTGAATTCTAGAAAGTCTTCAGTTTCTTTCTTTTATTCTTCCTTGTCTCAGTATTTATCCATTTTAGTATTATTCAATTTCCATGAATTTGTAGGCTTTCTGCAATTAGTGTTTCTGTTGACTTCTAACTTTAAACCATGGTGATATGATAAGATACAGGGGATTATTCCAGTTATTTTGTATCTGATGAGTTTTGATTTGCTACTTTTGTGTTTGGGTAAATTCTTCTATAAATGTTTTTAAGTCTTTTTAATTCATAATATCTTTTAGTTCCCTTAATTCTCTGTTAAGTTTCTGTCTGGTAAACCTTTCCATTGGTGAGACTGAGCTGTTGACATCTCTCAGTATTGGTGTCTAGGGTTTGATGTGTGATTTAAGCTTTAGTAAAATTTCTTTTTCAAATGTATGTGGCCTTGAATTTGGGACATAAATGTTCAGAATATGTCATCTTGATGGATTTTTCCTGTTATGCATATAAAATATCCTTTTCCATATTTTTAATTAATTATAGTTTGTTGACTATTTTGTTAGATATTAGCATAGCTACACAAGTTATTTTTTTTTATTATGTCCATTTGACTGGAAAACATTTCTAACCCTTTACTCTGAGGTAATGTCTGCCTTTGAGTTTTAGGTATATGTCTTCTGTTCAGCAGGAGGATGGTGCCTGTTTTTATACCCATTCTGTTATCCAGTGTCTTTTTAGAGGTGGATTGAGTCCACTGATATCAAGAGATATTAATGACCAGTGACTGTTAATACCTGTTATTTTTGTTTTGTTTAGTGGTGGTGGTAGTAGTGGTTGTGTATTTCCTTTCTTTGGAATTTGCTGGTGTGAGGTTTTTCATTATCTGTATTTTTGTGGTTGCAGCTAACTTCCTTAGGTTGGAGTATTTCTTCTAGGACTTTATGAAGGGCTGGATTTGTGGATATGTGTCATTTAAATCTGATTTGTTCATAGAATCGATTGTTTTCTCCTCCCATGGTGATTGAAATGTTTACTGGGTATAGAAGTCTAGGCTGGCATTCATGATCTATTAGTATTGACTTTTTCCTTTGTACTCTTAATAGTCTTTCTTTATTTTGAATGTTTTGTGTTTTGATTTTTATCTGACTATGGGACTTTTTAAGTTTTGTTCTACTCTGTTTTGTATTATATAAGCTTCTTTTGCCTTCATAGTCATATCATTCTTTTTGTTAAGAAAGTTTTCTTTTATGATTTTATTGAATATATTTTCTTTGTCTTTCAGCTGGAATTCTTCTTCTATCTCTATTATGTTGAGGCTTGGTTTTCTCATGGTGTCCCCAATTTCCTAGATGTTTTATTTTAGTAAAAATTTATTGAATTTAACATTTTCTTTGACTGATAAGTCTACTTCCTCTACTGTATCTTTATTGAGTGAGATTCTCTCTTCCATCTCTTGCATTCTGCTGATTCTTTATCTGTGTTGGGATAGTCAGGTCTTGGAGTGGTAGAACCATGAGTGCTGTCTTTGTTGTTTTCCATATTGCTCTTTATCTTGTTGAATGCATTCTTATGTTTCTGTCTACACATCTTTTCCTCCAGTTGCAATTGGGGCCTGTGACTCTGATGGTTCTTCTTCTTCCAGGTCCACCTGGGGTCTCTGGCTGAGGTGATTCCTGATGTTGGGGGGGGATGGTCAGGGGCAGGGAGGATGTTTGTTTTTTGTTGATCTGCATTCATTGTTCCAATGTTGGCCTTTGTCATACCTTCTACATATACCCAAAGGCTGAGTCCTCCTATTCTTGCTCTTCCCAGAGGAGATATTATTCCTAGGAATTCTTTGTCTACAATCCCTTCTCAGATGTTCTATTTTACCACAATTAAGCATTTGGTATTTTGATGTTTTCTCATTCCTTTGGAAATTGCTTCTCCTACCCAAGATTCAGTATGAGTCAAATGTCTCAGTGTTCATTGTATGCAGGATCCATTCATCCACAGGTGCTGATCTAACCTTTAAAGGCCCAAGTATCTTTTTGCATTCTAACTTAACATTTTCAAAAGCCAGAGATTTAGTAAGTACTCACCTATCATCTGGGTTTTTACTCCTATTTCTACAGCCTTAGTTAATCTTTGTAAAAAGTCACTAAATGGATCTCTCTGGCCCTGTTTAACCCTGGTATATGATTCAATTAATTTTCCTAGTTCTTGAATCCTGTCCCAAGCATTTAAGGCTACTTTGTGGAATTGAGACAAGATTTGTAAATCGTAAGGAGCTTGTACCTGTGGGTCAGCTTAAGAGCCCTCATCAATAATTTGATATTGCAATGTCTCAAATTCTTTTGCTATTCCCTGTTCTAAAATTTTCACCTCTTACCTGAAATAACATCAAAACATTAACTGGGGCCCATCATCCATGTCTGATGAAACTGAATCAATTCATTTGTTGTTGCCTTGATGCTAGAAGTCCATGTCTTTATCATCTCACTAACAAAGGTGGAATGCAGGCCATAAATTACAACAGCTTGCTTAATTTCTTTTAGATCATTCATTCCTGTAGGTATCCATCTACGTTCTTTGAATCCTTTTGGACTTTTAGAACTTGATACTTTGTCAGAGTAGATTACAGAGTATGAAGCGAAAACCCTTTTGTAAGTTATCTCTGACAGCTACTGGTGATGTTGAATCCTGTCCTTGTGCCTTCTTTACCTGTTCTTCAGCTCCAATAATTTCCTCAATCAATTCAAATCTCTTTACTATTGTCTTTTGTTAAACCTGAATCTCCTATCCAGGATATATTTCTAGTGATTTTATTGAGGCACCTAGCTTATGGTCCCC